GGGGGAATTAAAATACCATACAAAAGATAGAATTAAGGCCTCCATATGCCTTATAAAATTTGCTACAAATGCATTAGTTCAGCACTATTAGTCCCACTCTTAACTCTTGCAAGTCAGATTCAGAGGATTATTTTTGTCATCAGCAGTTATGTAAAAAATATTCAGTTGCAAGATTGTTGGAAATATCTTCCCTAGCAGGTCAGTCCTGGCTGGGGAGCAGCTCTGTCACAGGGGGGTTTTCTCACAGAATGTGTTCCACAGAGGTCAGTATTACAGGAAATCTGAAGCCCAGACCTTAGGATTCAAAGCTGATACTGGATTGGGAATTCTAAGAATTTTAGAAGGGTTCTTAAACTTGGCTTTTGAGTTTTGAAAATAACCTGTAGTAGAGATGAAGGTGATGTCTGCTTGGGGAGATATGTTGTTGTGTGTCTGCTGTAGAGTTCTTGGTCAGGTTACAAAGCAGAGGAGCTGCATGAACAAGCATCGCACACAGGGTTTCCCTGTTGGTCTCCAGCACGCTCGGCAGTATTTCTTAATGCTTTTCTGTCAGTTGTGAGGGATTTGCATTTCCAGAGTGCCTGTAGCCCACATCACAGCCAGGGTCTTGGGTGGTGCAGGGACCAGCTGCCTCCTGATGATAGTGCGAGAGAGCAGAGATGTTCCAAAGCGGCTCTGGGCTTGGACGAAAGGGTTTGCTCCCTCCGTGAGCCTCTGAGCCCTCACTGTAAAAGAGACCAGAGGATGATGTCCCAGTGAACTTCCTCTGTGGAAGGTGAAAGACAGACCAAGTAGAAAATGAAGGTTGTTAATGAGAGTCTTATACTAATGAAATATTGCTGCCATCTTCATTTCTATTGCTTTATTAATTATAGTTCTTGGAAAGTAACCACCAAGTGTGTTATTTTCAGGGCAGATGGAAGGCGTGGTTATGTGATTTAAACTTGGTCAGCAGTGGCTCTCCAGCACAGGGTGTGTAGAGACCAGAAGTGAAGCTGCTGGAGCAAAACATTCCACTTCCAAACCAGCCAACTGAGCACAAAAATGGGAAAGCTCATTTCATGTGAGGTTTCTGTGAATGCCGTGTTACAGCTGGCAGGAATAAGATAACCAACTGCCCTGCTATCACTCGTGGTTTTTCACGTTCAGGAGAATCCAGCAGTTGCTACTGAGTTTTTTTTGAAAAATAAAATTATTAAGGTTTTTTTTCTGGCATTCGTTTTTGGTCTTGTTACCAAAGCTCCACGTGAGGAATATGTAGACCTGGCCAGCTGTCTCAAATTTCTGCCTTTCCTCACCCCCAGTTAGCCTGACTACATGTTTTGATCTTTGATATGAGCATTAAGTATCTTTTAAAATTATTTCAGAAGAATTTTTTATTTCCATATCTCATGAGGAAAATGATTCCTGTTTTTAGACAAACTTATGTGTATATATTGTTGATTTTATTATTTTTTTTGGCTAGTGTTTCAGGTTAGTTTCATTCACGTATAATCTGGACAGTTAGAAGATAGAGTTGTGATAGTTAATGAACCTTGGACATTTGATTTTGCTTTCACAGAAGGCAGAACTATACAGGTATATAATTTGTACCTTTAGTTTGAGATTTCTTTTACACTAATGTACATGACTCACAGCTTTCCATATTAATTTATGAGAGATGTGCTGTTGATAAACTTTGTGTAAAAGAATGTAGGAAACATCTTTTTTACATGTGTAATGGACTGGGAGCCAGCAACCAAACTGCAAGTAGAACCCAGACTGTGTATTTCCTTACAAAGGGGCTAGTAATAGACCTCTCAGTTTTCCAATTTCTTCATGTGTAAAATGGCAATACCAGGAGTATTACCTGCAGTAATTGGATAACTCGAGATCCTTCACTGAAAGTTGCTCTAATAATTACCAAAATTTCCAGCATTAGAAAACATTTAAAAAAAAAAAAAACCCCAAAACCAGAATTTAGTCCTCAGAAATGCTATACCTGCCAGATTTGAGTGTTTTACAACTGGCTTATTTCCCATATTCAAAGAGTCCAGTGATTGTTTTATCATATTTTCAATGTAAATTAGTCATTAAGAAACAGTAAAACTGTTTGTTTTTTTTTTTTTTAAGTTGACAATTACTCTGACTTTTTAATCTTCACTGGCTGCTTCCATGCAGATGTCAAAAACCAAAAAGTTTAACTATATAAGAAACTTCACTAAAGGAAGAATTAAAGTGTAAGCATAATGGTTGTAGGATGAAGTTTTAATGGAGAAGCTGAGAAATAGTGAAGTGTATGATAATTACAAATCAAAAAGACTTACAGAACTAGAGATCACCTTAGTGCATAGAATGTAGCACTCTGTTCTGTACCCTTAAACCATGGGCAAGATCTTTTAAATACTGGTTTGTTTGGTTTTGTTGTTTGGTTGTTGTTGGGTTTTTTTTTTTTAAGATGACAGTTAAATCAGCTTTTGAAAGGATTTATCAGGTCAATGTTAAACTCTTGAATAAAATGGGGATGTTTATTTTCTCTGAATTTGAGCAGAAATTGGAATATATCCAGCTTACTTCAGTGGGTTTTGGAGGTCAAAATTTAAGATGATCCAGGTATTTTAAAGGTTGAATCATAAATGAAATACTGTTGAAGACTTGAAGTGCTGCAAATAAACTGTATATTTAGGTTTCAAACATTTTCAATACTAAAAAACATTTTAGTTGCAAAATATTTAACTGTTCTTTTCTACCAAGGCTGGCAGTTCCCAGGGGTTGGGTTCTGCTACCAAAACTGGGTTATCTTTATAATTTATAGATAATGTAGATTTTTTTTTTCAAATATTTCATTGCTGCAACAAACACCATTATAAAGGGGAAGCTGATGTATTCCTTGCTGTTTTACAGATCTGCCAGGCATTAGAACCTATTACCACATAGACAGTTAATCGAGTCAGCAATACTGCGAGAAAGCTAGAGCTAACGAGCGTTCACGAACGGGAAATGACAAAAGACATTGTCACGCTTAGCCCTTAATCCTAGACCTCCGTATTTTTATAACTACAGACGTAGTATAGTCAAGAACACGAGCCAGCCATCTGTAGGCAAGTCTTTTTCTTTATTAATTAAAAGTTGGAAGAGCTATAATAACACTATTTCAAATAGTGCAGGCATTTTCCTTATTTGTTTTGAACATTTTTCCTTTAATGAGTTTTGTCTCATTACATTTCATACCAGAAGTAACTTTTTATCCCTTCAGGCCAATGAAATGTTGTTCAGTGGAAGGAAGTTGACTGCGCAGGAAGCTTGTGCCAAAGGACTCGTCTCTCAAGTGTTTTGGCCGGGAACATTCACGCAAGAAGTAATGGTTCGAATTAAGGAACTTGTCACATGTAATTCAGTTGTAAGTTCCCTTTATTTTCTTACAGTGCATCTTTATGATTAGATTAAAAAGAATTAATCTAAGTATTATTAGACTACATCATTATGTCCTTCTAAAAAAAGACCCTTTTCATGAACCAAGGACTGCATTTTAGTATAGCAATGTCTTTTAACACATGTATATTTTTGTTTCTGGGTTTTTGAGGATTTTATTTTTTTAAGTTTATTTTTTAAGTTTGTATCTGACTCTATCATATGCCATTAGTGCACTGTGGTTAAGAACATTAATACGGCATTGGACTCGACAATATATTTTGGTTTTAACAGAGTTGTGTAAGTCCCATTCATTCTCATCAACAGTGTAAACAGTTGCCCTAAGAACTGCAGAGGAGCACAGAAATCTTGAGTTATTTTGAGTTGTCTACAGTTACTGTTTTAATGTCTTGAATTATAATTTAAATTACCAAGGAAATAAATGCATTCTTTGACTTTATGTTGAACTTGTAGTTTTACAAATAATGCCAAGCACATTTGTGGTTGTGTGCGCTATGGCAATAGCACAAGGTAGCTAAAACTACCAACATCTAATGCTTTCTTACAAGACGAGGTGGAGTACAAATTAACTGAGCTGTGTATTAGAAATTTCAGATTCTGAAACAAAATAATAGTTTTCTAAATGGAAAGGCAAATTAGATTGTTCAGTCTGTTTTAAATTCTCAATAGATTCAAGGTCTGTCTGGTTATTAGAGCAGTTGTGAATAATAGTGTTATAATTATGCCTTCACCAAAATAGAGTTGGAGTTTTCTCCAGATATAGATATATAGATACAGATATAGATATATAGACACAGATATAGATACAGATATAGATATATAGATACAGATATAGATATATAGATACAGATATAGATATATAGATACAGATATAGATATATAGATACAGATATAGATATATAGATACAGATATAGATATATATGTGGTTTTATATTGATTTTTTTTTCATTATTTCCACATTTTGTGCACTTGTAAATTGTGCAGGTATAGGGTAAAGCAAATTCTGTGTGACACTATGAGAGAGACTATAAGAAACATTTCTTAGGGTCATAATATGTCCATGAATTGATAAACTTAAGTTCATGAACAGCTTCAGGCTTTGTCCATAGCAACCTGTAAGTGCACATGTTGCTCAGTTCTCACGTAATACTAACCCAACTCTGTTTTATTGGGGTGTTTTTTTGGCCTAGGTACTTGAAGAATCCAAAGCTTTAGTACGGAATATCATGAAGGTGGACTTGGAACAAGCAAACGAAAAGGAGTGTGAAGTTTTGAAGAAAATCTGGGGCTCAGCACAAGGGATGGACTCAATGTTAACCTATCTTCAGAAGAAAATTGATGAGTTCTGATGAGATGCCCATTGACACTGGAATTGTATTTCTTGGACATCAGGGCAAACAAAATATGCCCATTTAAAAAACTTCTATAAACTCACCCCTGGCTCAGCTTGGGAACAGGAGTGGACCCCCCCTCTCCCCTTTAATGTCAAGGGGTTTAAGAGTACTGTATCACTTAAATTTGAACAAAACTCTTTTCTCCCTGATTGTTACATATAGCTATATATACACACACAGGAGTGGGCGTGTGTGCATATATATCCTTTTATATATATATATGTGTGTGTATATATATATATATATATATAAAAAATGTAATAAGTGTGTGAGTGTGTGTATGTAGACACACGCACACACAGAAGCTAAAAAAATGATAGAGTGCACTACCAAACATCTCTTTAAAGGCTCTAGTTTTTGTTATCTTTGGCTAGTACCGTATCAAATAGAGAATGGGTTAAAAAGTGACTGGTGTTGCATTATTTTCTGTGTGGCAGGGAAGTCTGGAATAATGCTTTTCTTTTTCATTAGAATACAGCATTGAAACGGGTATTAGCCAGCCCTGACTTTCACTGCCCAACGAGTCAGCTCAGATACAAGGCATTGTCTCAGAAGAAGGTTGAAATACCTCAAGTAATGGAACATTCTGAAATTTTGGGGAATTAAAACCCTGTTAAGATTAAACCACACATATCCCCCAAAAGAGAGTGTGCTCAGGATTAATGCTAAGAAAACACTCTGTCCTTTTTTGGGGGGAGGTATAGAGGAGTGGAAAGAAGGGGGCAGGAATATGTCTAATTCTTACCCAGATAGCATGAAGAAACCACTGTCTCTTGGGGAAGGGGAATGAGGGGAAGTGGGAGGGAAATGGATAGGGGAAGAAAACAACAACAACAACAGCTTGTTTTGCAGTATTAGTGCATCACTGAATATCTTATGTATGAATATCCTAAGTTATAAGTTAGTTTTAGTGGGTTTTTAAATAGTCTCTCTTGGGTTTGGTTTTTGGGGTTTTTTTTGTGTTTTGTTTGTTTTTGTTTGTTTTTTTTTAATAACTACATAAGTGCTTCTGTTGCTGGGTGAGAATACTACTTTATATACAGTTTGGGTTCTGTTTTCGGTTCTTTTTTTCCTATTTGCTGGTTTAAGTGATGTATTACACCAAAAATGCATTTTATGTTCATAAATTTTAGGTTCACTTAGAATATATTATTTAATAAGTTAAAATTCTTTTGGCACACTATTAATTAAAAAAAAAACTCCTTTAAAAAAAAAAACCTACCTTATATTAGATGTTTAATGTTCTTTGTCTATGCTTTTTTATTATTTTAAATATACACTATATACAGTATGGTGTAAAAGAGTGCCCTGTGTAAATAGACCTATTTTGCATTCCTTTCAGGAGTGGTTATTGATTCCTGACTGCAGATATCTATTATTACTTGGGTATCTGTGCTTGCAATCTTATTGAATGTATGAAGAATGAAAAAGAAATCAAACCTTATTTTTGTACAGTTTTGAAGTTTTTACTTGGAACTGACCCACCTCCCCTTCCCAGTGGAGAGCTGTACAGTGTGTAAATCTGCCTTTACCTTGGATTGGTACAGTATTTTTGCATCTGTGGGACCTACTTTTTTGTTCTAGTAGTTTGAACTATATATAAACTGTACAATCTGTAAAGTTTTTATAGAATAAATATTCAGCTGTGAAAACTGGTTAAATAAAACTAATATTTCTTAACACATTTTAAATGTGGTTCTCTCATGTAGTTGCCTTTTTCAAAGACACTTCAGTTCTGATTTTAAAGACTTGACTACTGCTGTTTTATTGTTGTAAACTATATAGACCTTTTCTGTAATAAGAGGGAGACAGGGAAGAAGACACATAGGAATTCATTCTACTCTTAATTAT